CAAGAGCTGTAGAATTTGAGTTTCACACTCTGTTTACATTGGAAGTGCGGAGCATCAGTAGCTAGAAGTTACACAGTAGGAAAGATACTTGTATTAAACGAGTAACTTGAAAATTCAGAAGCTCTGATTCCACTCGCAGCACCTAAGCTTTACAGATTAACAAAATAATTTTATTGCTTACTTGTGAATGTAGATCTTTATGGATAAATACCATGTCTAAAAGTCTATAAAGTAAATCAGATCTGTATTCATTGCCTTTGTTTTTTATGCCCCTAATTGCTTCAGGACACATTTTGTGTCTGTATAGGAGTTGTAGCTCACTGCAGTGGATTTCCTGGAGTCACTGGTGCTGCTTGCAGTTGCAAAACTTAATCACAGAAGTACTGCTAAAGCAATTGGTCAGCAGAAGATATGAGTCATGTTGACCTGAGTACAAGATGGCCGTGAATAACAGCTTTTGCTAGAAGCAAGCAAAAATTGGTAGGGGGAGGCCATCCAGCTCTGCATGGCCTTCGTGATTGCTGGCTCCTGCTGACACGTACGTGCCTTACTGGTACTCTGAGACACTCCGGCTGGGCAGGTGCAGTACTGGAGCTATGGGCAGATAAATAGCAAGAGGAGTATGAAGCAGTGGCACAGTTGAAGGACTGCAAAACCAGACAAGAAGCCAGACTTTATTTACAACTGTCTATTCCAATTTATGATGCCCTATCTGCCCTTGCGAAGGAGTTGCTTAAAAGCTTTTGTTCACACAATGTTTATGCAGAAGACAGTAGGTAGCATTGAGTTCTTTGGCAACTGTATACAATGCAATTAACTATCACTCTATCAGTATCACCTCTTAAATTAATTTTGCTGGTTTTCATGATTGCAACACAGAAGGATTTATGTTTCCCCCTTACTCTTCAGTAATTGCATAACTCCTCATTGCTGAATTAATTTGCTGTCATCTGTCCATGTGTTTTCCCTGTTTCTTTTATACATATGCTGTAACTTTGTGGCCCTCAAACAAGAACGTAAATACTTATTCTGAAGAAATAACTGGTGCTGAAAGTCTGCCCCTAACTGTCATGGTCTTCTCTTTCCCCTAACACATCTTTCCCATCCCAGTGAAGCCTGTGGATAGTTTGATAGTTGAGCAGTGTTTGGGGGCAAAATGTTACAATTGGCCTTTTAAAGTAAATTTACCAAAAAAACCTCCAATTATAAGGATATATTAATTCAAGTTGAGTAGCATATAATGTGTTTAATACAGTAAGAATATGATACGTGAGTTGCATGAGGGAGTCTTTTACCTTTCTTCAAAAGTGCGATGAAGATAAAAATAAAAATGCTCTGAAAGGAGTAATTTTATAAAGTTAATTTGGACATGGTGTGAATGACCTGGAACTTCATGTAAAACTTAATCTGTATGCAATTATTAAAAAAAAAAAAAAAGATAAGGTCAGCTGGATAAATTACACAATGCTGACCTTATTTTTAAAATTAATTTGCTTAAGGACATGACAGATCATTTTGGTCTTTTATGCAGTAACCAAAATTCAGCTTTTGTGTTAACAATAGGAATGCTAAGCTTTTATTTTCCCAGAGGTACTTAAAAAAAGTTTGACATACTTATAAAAATAGGATGAGATCAAGTTATAGAAATCTAAGCCAGGATTTTGTCATGGTTTTATTTTTGCCTCCAGACTTTAAATACTTCTAATAAAGGGTATATTTTAAAGCATGAACTAAAATCCTAGAGTTCACATTGCTCTCTTTGTAGCTGGGAGAGGCTTGTACACTGCCTTACGTTTTTTTTTAAGTGTAGGAAACACATAACTTTATTGAGAATCAGTTTTAAAAGGAAAAAGAAATAAAAAGATCATTCTTCAAGCAACACAGCTTTAGCTTCCATTACATTACTGTTTTTTTAGGAAAAACAGTCTTAATACACTCTTTAGGGCTGATAGAAAACTTTGCTTATTTTACAGAATGATTAAAAATTGCTTTCTATTTGTTTCTGAATAGCTCGTCTTTTTTGGTAATTCCTTTCTCTTTTAGACTCCCAGATTGACATAAATTTATTACTTGAATGAGTAATGGAATAACATTCTTTCTAGGGGGAAGTGCTGTAGTGCTGCCTCCTGAATAAGTAGCATTAATGCTACGTGTAGTTAAAAATAGTTGTGGTTTTGCACTTTTAGCACTGTTGTTGAAACAGGATAAAAGTAGTACTAATATTAAAAAGACTTATTTCACTACGTTGTATGTGCCAAAGAATAGGCAAAAATACAGTTCTCTCCCCTTGTTTAATACATCTCGTTTTAGTGGGCCTTCAGTGAAATGTGATTTTTCTGTTTTAGCTGGCTAGTATCTTAACTGCGTTTATTTTTACCATACTATTTAAGCGCATAAATTGATGAAACTTCAATCTCACCTACCCTCTAAGGATTTAGAAAATACAAAAGTAACTTTCTCATTTTTCCAAATTGCTTATTCCTTTGTACTGACTTTTTTTCTTAAGGTACAGAGGAGAAAACTGTGGGTTTTTTCCTTTCTGGTGTCAGTAGCTCTTGAAAAGGGGGGACTGTATGGATTCCTCTCCTCTCTCTCTCTCTCTCTCTCTCTCTCCTCCCGCCCCCGCATCACGAGGCAGTGCTGATTGGAAAGACCAGGACTACCACACAATGAGATATAATGTCACTTTAGTGCTTTATATACAGAGATGACTCTGTGTTGGTTTTGCATTGCCATCACTGTTTGGGGCACTGGTGTGTGATTAAGCTTCTTCCGCAAGCTGCTGGCACTTCTGGCCCCTCCTCTTCATCCTGGTTGGGGATTGCAGGCCAAGGAAATAAAAATGCAACACGCAGATCAAAGCAAGGGGGAAGGGGAAAAGGACAGAGCATTCTTGCCACAGCCGGACAGTTGCAGCTACATCAGAGCAGAGCACTCACCGACGGGCAGCTCTGCTGTCAGAGCAGGGAAGGAAGGTCTGCTGTATGCCTTGGGTATGAACCCAAGGCTGAAAAGATTCTAGAAGTAGTGATGCAAAATCAAGTGATTTTTTAAAATGTATTTTCCCTTCCTCCTTTTTCATTGGACGAATAGCAAGATAGAATTAGTTAAAAGTCATCACGTGAAGGCAGTTTCTCAGAGAAGGGGATGCTGAGCTGACATTTGAAAGGATTCTGGTCTCCAGAGGAAGGGCATACAGATTATGATGTGAGCGAGCAGTTCGCAAGCCATCTCTGGCATGGCTGCTCTAAGACCTTCTGCCGCCTTCAGGTCACCATTTGGGAAGCATTCCAGGAAAGAAAACCTTTTTTCTTTTTTTCTGTTTTCTTTTTTTTTTTTAATGGATTGAGTCCACCTGTGTATCAACCCTCTTGTATCAAGGCTGATGTGACTGATAGAAGTTTGTAAATTTAGCTGTGAAGTAAAACCTCATTATATAGTCTTTGCACTTGGTTTTATTACATAAGCAAACGAAAATCATGTGGATAAGCCTATAGAAATGATTAAAAGGTGCCTACCATCCTGTGATCTTAAAATGAGGAGAAGGAGTATTATTACTATTTACTAGAACAGTAGCCAAGTAAGTGGTGATGAGCAGAGGACTGGATTTACTTGGAGTAGGCAATTGGGTGTGACGAACACAAAAACCAATGGTATGTTTGTATACTTTCTGCAAAGGTCTAATCAACTGGAGTGAGAAAACCTTCTAGTACAAGACATGAAACTTGGTATTAAAGGAATATGTAGAATAATAATCCACAGGAATGGGAGTGAAGCATATGCAGATTAGAAAAGGAAAAAAAAACAGGTGGTAGGGAAACATTCAATATTTGGCACAATCTGCTGGGAAATAAAATAACCTTAGACTTTTTTAAAAAGAAATCACTTTGAAGAAGAATTGGAGAAAGATTATATATTAAAAGTCTATAGTAGTCCTTAGGCTCATAATTGAGAACGGATGAAGACCTCTCATTTTACAAGTGAGAAATACTGAGTATTGTCAAGACTGACAAGATTGATTCTGCCTGTGATTAGCTTCCCAGGCACAGCCTGGAGATCATGTACTATTAATAATGGTAAAAAGATAGTAAATGCATTTCTTTACCAGTCTCTACGTTAACAAAGCACAGACTTCGTGAGCCATTGATGATGTTTTAGGAGAGGTGCTTGAAGAAAATTATTGTATTTTTTCACATGGATTACCTGTTCAAAAAGGGAGAGGGGGGGCACTGGACATTACATAAAATGCTGCTTATCTCCACCCACCTTTAAATTTTGTGTATTTAATGTTAAAACTTATTTTCATTAAATAGTAGTGACAAGCTTTGTGGATCAGTTGATTCAAGTTGGTGCACAGTCAGCTGCATAAAAATATATATGTAATCTAGGTTTGTAACTTCAGAAGTGCAGTGTCTTAGTTTTACTAAGAATAGCTAGGGATTTGAAGAGCTTTAAGATTTACTTATAGGACAAATCACTGATTTGATCAATCAGAAATTTCAAAACGTATGCCTCAAACAGGAGGAGTGAATGGGAACTTGCAGGGAAAGACTTCAAAGTTTGCTGAATGAAACAAGGTAAAAAGGAAACCAGGGACTAAATCAGAACTTAAAAGAAATGGGGAAAAAGTGCTAGTCAGCAGAGCTAGGCAGACATATCTGAGGAGTCAGATAGTGTTAACAATTCTCTTTTTGATTTTAAGAGTAGACTTAGCAAAAGGATATTAAGTGAACTAGAAAATATTTATGTAAATATACAGATATTTATATCCATAAATACATATACAGTGACGTCTCTGTAATACTGTGCTTGACTAGTGGAACTTTCATTATCATTGAAGCCAGTAAAAATTCTTGCTTTGTCCTCAGAAACTTAATTTCATTTAAACGTTGTAACTGAAAACAGTAAAAACATCCATTACCTACCATGTGTTTATGTATCTGAAAAGTGCATTCAAATGCTTAACATGATTGTTCTTTCTCCCTTTCCCCCTGTTCTAGGAATTGGCTCTCCGTAGCCAGCTTCCAACAATGGAACAAGACGGTGGATCTCAAAATCCCGTGTCATCTCCTGGAATGTCTCAGGAACTGAGAACAATGACTACAAATAGTTCTGATCCCTTTCTTAACAGGTTTGTAGGAGTAGCTACTAGAGGGGAAAAAATTGATTTAAAATTCTGTTTGGTACATGTAATAGTTTATTTTGAACATCTGTCTGTGCCAAAAGCCACAGCTGTAAATGAATCTTTCCTTAAATGGCAAGTCTAGTAAAAGTTGAGGATTAAAAGCTGTCTCCTGTGGGAGGAAGTAGTCTGTTCAGACTTGTAGGAAGGTTTTTTATTCAAAGTCATAACATGTTTGCCTCTGCATAATCTGTTGACTAACAGTCATTTCAAATTACTGACTCAGAAGAATTTGTGAATAGCTTGCTATGAGATCAAATGAACTGTGAGGCACATTTAGGACTACACCTTGAGGTTCATTTTAAGGTTTCTCCATTCACCCCTCCCCTCCACTTCAGGTATTTAATTTAGCAGTATTTTTACTCTGTTAATGTTAGGTCTGCAAATAGTGGCATGTTTCATTCTAAATGCTGTATTATTTTGAAGCAGGTCTTTTAATTCAAGATTTAGAATTTTACAGTATAGACTAGTCTTTTTCATAGAACTTTTTTCTTAATCCCTCAGATTTGGAATGTTTGTTTTGTTGGAAGTACTGTTCTAATTACAGCTTGCAAATGCTTCATACTAACCATTACAACTTTGGAGAAACTGCTGCAGCTTGAGATAAGTCGTATCTGTATTTTTTGCTTAGCATGCTGGAAAGAAAAGGTGAAAATGGTAAAACAGTCAACTCTCCAAGCCACATAAACTTTTAATTAATGGAGCAAAAATGTACTGACCTTTCAGCAGTATCAAGTAGTTGATCTTAAGTTGGAGTAGTTAATTTTGTGGTTCTTTTGGACTATATTTTGACAGCATTCTAAACTTGATACCAACTCAGTATCCCCTACCATAAAAGAGAAAAATTATCTATTCTGTCAGAGTTCATCACTACTTTTCTGCATTACCTTGAAATGTTAGCCTAACTTTAGGATGCTTACTGTAGGTGCTCATGAAGTATAACAACAGGCTCGTCCTTCTCTTTATTGGTACATTATTATACTCATGGAAAACCCCATAAAATTCATCTTGATTCTTTCAATGTAAGTCTTAACTTCCATGGTTTTTGCCACCAATACAGTTTCAAACCTGCTCGTAAGGTAAGAAGTCCACATCATGTTAGAACTGGCATGATTTTGAAGTAGGGCAAGCTTAAATACCTACTGTAATTTTAGATACTGAAAACTGTTAAAATCTTTGTAAACCTTTGCTGCAATTATAAGTACCTTCCTATATTCTTTTAAATAACTTAATGTTGCTGATATCTTACACTTAGGTTCTTCATCCCTAAAGATGTACTGTCATTGTATGTAACTTTTCCAGTTACTGATACTCCATCAGCTTAGCTTAAGTTTGTTTTATTTTCTGCCTTTTCCAGGAGACTTCTCCATCATTTCATATACTCTATCCTCACTCTAATTCTCAAAACTAGTAAAGTTCAGTGGAGATGGTGCAAGAACATACCCTCCATCTTGCCAGTGGAATCTGTTGTCATTCATGTAGTTTAGGTTATGTAAATAACATATGTTGCTCTTAAGCTTTTTCTCCTACTGCATGAAGTGTTGTGTGTGCTACTGTGAGAGTGGGAGAAAAGTTTGTCTCAAGGTACACAGTGCTTTGTATATATTGGAGAAAATCAAGTTTAAAAAAAAAAAAAAAGTTTTGCACATGGAGAAGAAAGTAGTGCTGTTTTATTGTTAAACTCCCTAAGGAAGTAAGCAGTATTTCCAAGTTTTGGGTAAGCCCTTCAGGAAGACTTAGCTCATACACAGACAAATCTGATTAGAAAACTTAATTTTTTGTTAGAGGGAGGGATTGTCCTCCATGGAATTCATCCTGGAATCTGGTGTGAGCCTTAACTGTACTGGCTCTGTCCCAAGGCATAAAAAGGACAAGAAATCTTAAAACTGACCTGCTCTCCTATAAGAAGCCTCTCTAGATAGATGATGGCCTTGATGTGTTATAGTAACATACTAGCTTGAATTTCTGGAAGGCTGTTGCCATCATACATTGAGCCCAGGTATATTTTGAAATTTGTTCTTAAATGATGTAGAATCCTCACATCTTCAAAACCTGTTTTCTGACCTGAAAGAAATGCATCTTTAGGTTTCAAATGGCCGTGGCATGGGCTAATGCAATTTATCCATTGTGTGTCTACACACATGAAATATAAAATGATGGATCTTTACCTTTAATTAGAAACAGGAAAAAAGCTAGAAAGGGCAAATTCATGTTGTTTGTAATTTTTTGGCAGGTTGATAATTAGCAAGGACTATTTACTGTGAAGTGCAAAAAGATACTACTTGCCTAGTCGCAAATATGTTTAACTGGGCTTTTTTGTAGCCCTTACTCCATGCAAAATACTGAAAATTTGTACCTGACTTTAGTTCAGAATATCTTAATTTGCATTTTGGTCTGAGCATTGTGCCCTTCTAGGTAATTTTATGTGCATCACTGCACTTAATTCTGGCATATGGGTAAGGGGAAAGGGATTTTAAAAAAGGTCGTTTGTGGATATGCGTTGCTATCTCTGAATTAGATACAGCAGTCCAATAGTTTTGCCCTAAAGATCTCCTTGATGTCCCTTATGTTAAAGTTCAGACTTAGAGAAATGCTTCTTTCTGTCTTTATAGGGTATATATAAAGTTCCTGGTGAGACAGTCCTTATAAGTTTAGGTACCAAAGCTGGATATCCAAAGTTTAGGTAGTTGAATCTTTTTCAACTGCCTACATAATCAGAACATCCAAAAAACCTCAGGAAATAATTGCCACATTGGAGCAATTTGAGAAAATGTACAGTAGTGTTTTCATTTACATAGTCAATCTTCTACCTGCTATCTTCAGTACTTATTGTCATTGTGGTATATTTTATTTTTTAAATGGAACATCCAGCAACGCAGACTTTATTAGATGATTTCACCTTTTGGTTTGCCACTCTGTTTATATATTTTTGTCTATTAGATTTATATTGGTAGTGATGGTAATTCTCTGTTTAAGTCCTAAATTGGGACGACTTCTTGTGTATACACGTATTTTAACAAGTATTAGTTAAGAAGCATCCACTCTATTTTGGGTAATGCAATTTAGTTGCATGCAGTAATTTTGGGTGGTGTGACTACTAAATGAAGAAATCCTTGTTGAAGAAAGAGGAAATGTGTATTAAAGAGTGATTTGAAGAGAAGGGCTGGACATTCCAAGTCTGAGAGCAGCAGCCAAAAAAGCCTTCTCAACTAGAGTGATTTAGTTCAGCATAGTCTCAGTTCTGTTTTTAGTATTTTGTCCCACAAAGTAAACCAACGTTTTCTTCACAGAAGTTTTAAATAGCTTAATTGCTAGGATTGTTGTCAAATTTGTGGTGATAGTATTTTTAAATCAATCTGAAAAAAAAAAGAAATATTTATGATTTAACTATAAAACCGTTAGGTTTCTTTCTTGTATGGCAAAGACGTCTTCGTGAAATCTAATACATATATATTCATGGCTGATGGCATTCTACTTGCATCGGATGTTGAATAGCTGTTCAACCACCATCTGCTTGGTTCTTCATACTTGACAAAAAGGCATACGGTATATATTTCGTGAGCACATTATAAGAAGAATCAGTATGTCTTCAAATGCTGATTTGAACAGTAAGTCAAGCTGATCTTCATTTAGTATTCAAGCTGGAAAATAAGTGAGGATTCTCAGTGAATGCTACCACAACCTGAAGAAATAGAGATTTTGAAAATATTTTGTGAATCTTGGATATTAGGAGATGCAGGGGGAGGGAGGTAATGGTGTATTTCTACAGCTGCTTATGCAGGCCACTGTTCCTGCCAGAAAACCTGCTCCTTGCTTGGGCTCCTCTCCACAAGTTACAGTTCTGCCAGGAGCCTGCTCCTGCAAGGACTCTCCACAGGCTGCAGCTTCCTTTAGGGCACATCTACCTGCTGCAGCCAGGGTCCTCCATGGGCTGCAGGTGGATATCTGCTCCACCATGGTCCTCCATGGGCTGCAGGGAGACAACCTGTGTCGCATGATCTTCTCCATGGGCTGCAGGGAAATCTCTGCTCCGGCAGCTGAAGCATCTCCTCCCCTCCTTCACTGACCCGGGTGTCTGCAGGGCTGTTTCTCTCACGTTTTCTCACTCCTCTCTCCAGCTGCTGCACAGTGTTTTTTTTTCCTAAAAGGCGTTATCACAGAGGTACCACCACTGTCACCGATGGGCTCAGCTTTGGGCAGCAGCAGGACCATTTTGGCGCCAGCTGGAACCAGCTGTGTCTGACATGGGGTCAGCTCCTGCTGTCTTCTCACAGAGGCCACCCCTGCATCCCCCTGCTATGAAGACCTTGCCACGTAAACTCAATACACTGGCCTACGTCCCTGTGCCCCACCCCATCCCAAATTTCCCACTGCAGCTTTCTTGGTCTTGCTCGCTCCACAGGCAGTGAGATGCCAGTAAGAAAGCGAATGCATGTAAGGTCCCACGCCATCTCGGTTTTGTTAACTGTTCTGTCAACAAGATCGTTCTGAAGCGGGTTTGTTTACAGGATGGCTTCTCTACCAGTGTTTGATTTATATTAGGGCGCTCTCTTGCCATGACATGTATGACTGAACTAGTAGTAATGCAACAGTGGGAAGCAATTGAAGAATCGCTAAAGGAGTTCTAACTATAGCTCCTATTTATGAAAGTAGTGACCTAAAAATACACTTCAGTGGTTGATAAAACAAGGGGACATTAGTAGTGAGAAATATTTTTTTTATCCTTATAGAAGTGTGAAAGTGTATGCCATTATTATTTTTATAATCATTAAGGACTATCTGTGATATGCTTCTAGTGTTTTTTAGCTGTGGGTGGGTATGAAAAGTTTAAAACTGTGTAGAACACAGGTAGGTAGCTTTTTAAAGCTGCTTAATTATGCTCTCATCAAGTTAAATTGAATCTAAATAATATGGTTTTAATTGGAAAAGGTCTGCATAAAATAAAACCCAGGTGTCTCACAGAGGCTTCAGTTTTTGATTAGAATAGAGTATTTCTCGTGACGGCAATGTTTTCAAAGCCCTTGAATTGGTTCAAAAACAAGCATATATTTGAATTTCTTCAGTATTCTACCCTCATTTTTTGCTCCCTTTCTTCTGTTACAGTGGAACATATCACTCCAGAGATGAAAGCACAGACAGTGGACTTAGCATGAGCAGTTATAGTGTACCCAGAACCCCTGATGACTTCCTGAACAGTGTTGATGAGATGGATACAGGTTTGTTTTTGTGTACATCCTTAATGCACGTTTTCCAAACATACTTGTGTCCATCAAATGCTCAGCCCCTTTGCAATGAAAATAAGCAACTTCTATTTCTGTAATAAAAATATTGTAGTTAGATTTGTGAAAAACATACTTGTAATTAACTCCATTGGGAGGATGGGCATTGCTCATAAACAGTATCACTCCTGTTATATGGAATTTGAGGGTCTGTTTGCTTTTTTAAGTAATAGTTTGTTCAGAGCTAAGAATAGGACCTCATCCAGTGTTGCTAATGCTGCACCAAAACAATATTTGACTCGGTATTGTCTTTTTCCTTTAAGTGTAAAAATTAAAATATGCTAAAGGACATCAAAGATCTGTAGAGATTTGGGTCAGTAGGTGAAAAGGTTGAAACAAAGACATGTTCTTTGTACATCTGCATGCAGTCAAGTCATCTTTGGTTTTTGTGATGGATTTCTATGAATCATGTTGCTTGTATGATGCAAGATACAGGATTAACCTTTAACCAGTTGTCCTGATAAATTGTGGGTTTGGTACTTCCAGTATATTTAATATCCATCTTGCTTTGTGTTATAACTAGGTGACAGTATCAGCCAAAGTAACATACCGTCCCATCAGAACCGTTTCCCAGACTACCTTGAAGCCATTCCAGGGACAAATGTGGACCTTGGGACACTGGAAGGAGATGGGATGAATATAGAAGGAGAAGAACTGATGCCAAGTCTGCAAGAGGCTTTGAGCTCTGACATCCTTAATGACATGGAATCTGTCTTGGCAGCCACCAAGCTAGATAAAGAGAGTTTTCTTACTTGGTTATAGGGGCCTCAGGGAGACTGAATTCTAAATCTGTGAAGGATCTAAGGAGAATAGGACATCTGTATCTGAAGTTCAGAACAAGCCAGTGTGGCACACTTCGGCTTGTGTTCAGAAAAAGTAAATGAACAAATATTCAACAAGATTCTTTCGTTTTGCTCTTCTTTGTCCATCGCTGCTGTTATATATTGCTGACTTTTTTCCACAGTTGACTCTGAAGAACAGACATCATCTTGATCTTTTTCTATTGCTGTTGCAACTACTGTTCAAGGGGGGTGGGGAGGGATGATGAGCCTATTTGGATGACGAATGCCATTCCTTTTGTCCTAGTGTGCGCTTGCATATCATTTTATCTAAGTACTCAGATTTGAGAGTTAATTTCTGCATGTCACTGCTTGTAGTTTGCTCAGCTAGTTGTCTCCTGCTGCCTGTGGCAAGTGGTAAAACATGACATACTGGGGTGACAAGCCAAAAATGATGTATCTGGTCAAAAGAAGTCAATACTGATTTGGAGATATGACTTAAAAGAGGGCTGAAGACTGTTTGGCATTAAGTGTTTCTACTAGTAGCTCTTTCATTAGTCACAAAGTGCTCTTGTTCATATTTTATGTTATAGTAAATCATGAGTCATTTTACATAGAAACATATATGAACTTTGATTGTTGCCACATATTCTAGCCTAACTTTTGTTTGTCAAAAATAGTTTGATTATTTTTGTTAGTTGGTTTAACTGTAGCTGTAGGATGGGAAGTAATTATAGATGGTGGTTTTTTTTTTTAAATAGTGAAATCTAAGGTTTTTTTCTGATTTCACATAGTCTTATTTAAATCTGAATTGTCTGCTTTTTTATACTTAAAACATGCCTATTGTAGCCTGATAAGCTAGTGAGTACATAAACCAGTATGTTTTGCCTGTAACTTTTTTATTTTTTTAAAGGCTAGCTTTGAATGTAATCATTAGAATTCATGACCAGTGGCTTATTTTTCATGTTTATTTGCAAGATTTTGAATTAGAATCTGATTGCAGCAACGTAAAAGTTAGAATCCTAAGTGTTGTATGTACAATTTTTAAATGCATTTTAAAGTAGCAGAAACCATTTTAAAATGACAGATGCATCTAATCTCTCTTCTGGTTTTCAGTTTTGATATCTAAGCAAGTTTAGATTTTAAAATCCTTAATGGGGAAAAAACTTAATGAAAAGTTTCTCTTAAGTTAGTATGGAAAAAGTCTGAACTATTAATATCACTCTAAGTTGCAATGAAAAGGCTAGAACACCAAAAAAAAAATCCTCAAGAAAAACTCCTAAGTGTAATAGTTATCAAATTCTGTTTGGTGAAAAATAAGCCCTGGACACTATACGTAGAAGAATGTAAGGATATGTGTTAGATGGTGACATGAGCAGGTAATGAAGTGTATATTAGTAGTAGAGCTTAGCATGGGGTAGAGGTGAATATGAATTATCTTTATTTTAACAGGAAAAGATGTATCACTAAGTTGTCTGCAGGAGTTGACACAGCTTCCAAAGAGTATTTTTAAATGAACAAAATGAGCATGAATCAAACTTTCAGTATAAGCTATGAAGTTTTGTGGGGCTTTTTTTTTTTTTTCTGATGAAAAATAGTGTCACCAGTTAACACCTCTATAATTAAGGGCCTGTCACCATTCTCAACATGAGCCTTTATTTTCAAGGGTGTATAACATGACTATAAAGATCCTGTAAGCGTGAAACTTGGTTTTGAAAAAAATCTCAGCTAGCAGGGACTTCTCCTGGGGAGAGATTTTTTTGGAGTTTTTTGTTTTGTTTTGTTTTTTTTAAAGACATTGATTATTTTTCAAGCTAGGAATGAATCAGCAAAACAAAACAAAAAAACCCATATTATCATTTGGATTTTCTATGCTTCAGAAATAGTTCTGGTTTAGGATAATGTAAAGTATAAAAACTCTGAATCAAGTCTCATTTTAAAAACTGAAGCAGCAGAGGCAGAGATTTGAAATTTGCCACTATAAATGTACATTTACTACTTTACGTAAGATATTGGTGTTTGAAATACACAAAATCGTTTGTGGCTTGTTATGGAATACAGGCAGGTTTTAAAATACCAATTTTCAAAACACATCCACAATCACAAATATATTCTGCTAACACCAATTATTCAGCAATTAATAGGCCACTTACATTGTGCAATGACACAGTAGCTCCTAAAGCAGTATATTGTGTCCAAGATAGGGATTTTAGTAGCATTTTTACAATTTCATTATGACTTCTTCTCTCTTCTTCCCTTCAGGAAAAAAAGACACTAAGTTGTTATAACTTGAATGGTCTGACATAAAACCACAACAGCAAGGAAATTCAGAGTTGATTCCATTTCAGTTGTCTTCCACGGTTGTATCCAGGTATCATAGCACATACAATGCACTGAGTGCAAACTCCTGACATGCTGTGCCTTGCTACAACAGGGATGAGTACAGAACAAATTTTCTTTCCTTGCTTTTGTGTGTTTGTCACAGCTTTAATATTTGAATGTTTTCTTCTCATTGTAGAAACACTAAGTGGCTTATACTGTATTTGGGTAGCACTGCTTAGGGTAGATACTGACAAACTGGGAATCCTTGAACTGCTCTAACATTAGTTCTGTTTTGTGATACTTATTTTAATTGATTTTAATACATTTCCGTTCTCTCATTTATTAGGAAACATACCCTAGAGATGCTGTACTGTTGGCAATCGACATTCATTTAGATTTTTTTTTTTTTTTTAATTCTACAAATGCATTGTTTGATGAAGTGGTTAACATTGTTTGAAATGCGAAAGTGTTTTGGGTAGTATTTTATACTGATGTATATATTGAAACAGAAATCATTGTAATAATTGTAATAGCTTTTAGTTATAAATACACTACATGCAGACAGATGGAGCTGTACAGTACTGTGCTGTTCAACATCTGGGCAGGGCTACTGCTTGGAAACAGGTTACAGTGTCAGTAAACCATATGGATCAAATATTGTACCATTCAGTGTTGGCGCTCACCAATGCAAAAGGAGAAGAGACGATTTCAACATGATTAACACTACATAGCTTTCACACATCTGGTAAATTAGTACTAAAGTGACCTTTTCACTTACAAGCATGTTTTTTATACAAATTAACAGGTGTGCCTGTAAAATAATTTGTTTTCTGTATCTTGGAAAAAATACTCTCCACATTTAGAATGTTGTATGTTAGAGAACTCTTAAATGCACCCTTGTCAAAAATTATATATATTAGTTACCAATGTTACTTTTAGATATGAGCATGACTGTAAGTTAGGTACTTAAGTACGTTCTGTTACATTATTTTTCTTTATGTAATACTTTTTCAGTTGTTTTATTTGGTATAAATATATACTTTGTGCTTAAACATCTTTGTTTGTTTTTAACATTCAATAGTATGTAAAGATACTGATTTCCTTCAGTAAGATGGATGCATTGAATTGTTGGAATTCCTATTGTAGTATGTCTGTTCTCGTCCCCCTTGTCACAGCTTTTGTAGTCATGAACTCCACTCCTGCAAACATTGTGTACAAGCTCACCTAAGAGACAAAGGAGTCCCACTGAAGTCAGTGAAAGCTTAACATTAACGTATACATCTCTGTGTGTTTGCAGTAATGAAGAGACAGTGACTCTACTGAGCCTCATACAGTTTGTGTAAAAAACAATACTTTAACTGCATATGGCACTACAGTGAGAGCTGGTAACAGAGCATCTGTTATCTACTATAAGAAAGCATCCGCTTTTTGCAGATATGCTTGCAATGTTCAGGATCTTCCCACATAGCAGATACATTTTTTGCTAACTCTAAGTTTATACAATAATTTGTGGCAGACTATCAATAAAGACACACTATTTTCATTTCTGATTTTTGACTTACGAATTGTGAAATATGTAATGACATACCTTGAAAGTGTCTGAAGATTTTAGTTTAAAAAATCTTGACAGGATTAATTGATTTTGACCTTCTGTAAAACCAAAATTCTGAAAGGTGTTTTTTTTAATGTAATGCAATTTGTGATGGCTGAAATCATACACTATTTGCATTTTAGCAGTTCCAGAGTTACTACTATTCAGCACTGAAATGCCTCAACCCTGTGAAATTCAGTGCAGTTGTGCGTTTTCGTAGTTAAAGGTCCAGGGCTCAATGCTTCTATCGGTTTGTCTTTCACTCATGAGTTCATAGCTCGGTTTAGTCCCTCAGATCCTTTAAATTTAAACCTAACATCACACCTTGCACCTGGGAGTAGAAAGCCAGTGCCAGGGCATGACAAGGCACCAATTTTGTTTGCTGATATCACTCTCTCCCATTTATAAGGTGGTGACATACTGCAGTAGTTGAAGTATGAGTGACCTTCTGAGGCAGCCCTAAGTAGACTGTATTACAGCAAAGCAGGATATCTGGTCCAGGTGTTCAGGCTCATTTGGCAATTCTTTTTGAAATATTTTCTCAACACTTAGTTAAAAACAAAAAGTATTGGTTTCAGTAAGCCAGACGTAGTGTGCTTCCAAGGAAGCCTTGAGTCTTCCCTATGCTGATGTGCAAGTTACCAGCAAAAAAAGCATTTTTAACCCAGGATCATTAACAAAATAATTATTTGAGATCAGGCTATGATCTGTCTAGCACCTCCTGTTCTGGAGGTTCATTCAGAGATGAAGTGGGACCATCAATTTTATTTACAGCATCAGCATCCATAGTTTATATGTTCCTGTTGAAGAGTAAAGATTGGACATTAGAAAAAATGGCTTTACTGAAAGAGTGGTCAGGCCTTGGAACAGGCTGCCCAGGGAAGTGGTAGAGTCACCATCCCTGGAAGTATTTAAAAGACGTGTAGATGAGGCGCTTAGGGACATGGTGTAGTGGGCATGGTGGTGTTGGGTTGACGGTTGGACTCGATCTTAGAGGTCTTTTCCAACCGTAATGATTCTATGATTCTATGCTTCTAAAGGTGTGCTTCTTGTCCCTTGTCGTCACCACTTATTTTTGCTAACAATAGTTATCCGCACCTTCTAAATTTAGATGTCATCAAAGCAGGAAGATATCTGTACAGCATGAAAAATCTGGGCTTACATCAAATGGTAAAACCAACAATAACTGAAGAACCAAATTGTCTCCAAATTGTCTTTAGAATAGTGGGTAGAGCTTTGTACCAACTGTACTTCGTCTCTTAAGCAAAAAACCCAGTATGTTTTTCTCTAAAGAAAAAAAATTGAGGAAGCATGTTGAATAAGAAACATACAAACACCAATACATCTGACAAAGCTGCCTAATGGTTTTTGTGGGAAACTCATGATTTTTACTTTTCCTGACATACTCCTTTCTCTTTAACGCGGAGGTTGCAGCAGTGAATGCTACAGATGTAGGCTGTTATTGACTTGTATTATTTTCTCTGTATGGGAATGAAGTTGGTCACTCTGATTACAGTATTTTTGGTATTAAAGTGGCTTGTATTAGAACATGAGAGGCAAAGTAATTTTATTGGATTTGCCTGTCTTTTTATTAGCAAATGATTTTAAAAAAAAAAAGACGGGGGGAAAAAAAAGTCAAGAGCAGCCCAAGAGGCTTTTTCTTCAATGTTATGCAGCAACAAAATAGAGCTCCATAAAAATGGTATGTTAGATCTCATCTGAAATACCCTTTCTCCTTCTCCCCTATATGTTATTTCTGAGCTACTCTAGTGTTTTTTAAATTATTTATTGTATTTACCATTTGTGAGTTTTGCTTGCCTGACCCCTAAAGACTGGGACCGTAGCGCTAGGTGCTGTTCGTCCCCAAAGGAGAGCAGAGTTCCTCCCCTCCAGCATTCAGCTGTCATCCCGTTTGAAGTCTGTAATATATGGCAGAAATTACAGTCTGACTCCAAACATGCTGCCCAACCGCTGTTACAGGGTGGTTATTGGCAAGCACGATTTTTTGAACGATGGTGGATTCCTGTTCTGGTTTGACTTCCCAGAGACTGGAAACGTTCAGCTTTCCTATTTCATTACTT